ATACCGAATATCGGGGGTACCGTTATATGGGGCTATTCGATATCGTGGACCTATACAGATAATTCTCTTTCAATGGATAAAGTACTCACAAGGAACTCCTTGTGTGGATTTTCAGACCATTCAATTAGAAAATGTGGCTAAAATCATCAAAATACCGAATATTGGGGGTGGGCGGGGGTGTACCGTTACATGGGGGCTATACGATATCGTGAACCGATATAGCCCATCTTCAAATTTGACCTGCCTGCACACTAAAGAGAGAGATCTGTGCAAAATTTTAGCTTCCTATAATAATTCGTTTGGACAGTAGCGTGTTTACAACAGACGGACGGACGGACAGCGCTAAATCGCCTTAGAATTATACGCTGATCACGAACACTGTTTGGGTCTAAAATGACTTTTTCGATGAGTTACAAACGGAATGACGAACTTAATATACCCTCCATACTATGTATGGTGGATGGTATAAAAAAATACCCTTGCAAAGACCCTCAGGAAACCAAAACAGAACAATTACCGTGGAATTTTAAGAATACAAGTTGAGATGAAAAAACTGCAACCAACTTTAGACTGCTGTCATTTCTAAGCCACTCGTCCGACAGCTGCTAAAATTATTCCAGTGACAGCTCATTATATTGTTTACAAGCGAACAACAGCATTTTGGTGAGAATTGTGTCTGGTATCATCGATCGTTACCGAAGATTTGTTCGAAGTGGACGGAAGAAAATAGCAACATTAGCAGCAATGGTTCAAAAAGTGAAGAAGCGACTTGATCGATCCTCCCGCGTCACAGTGGCCGAAAAATGGCTCGTGAGCTCAACATATCGCAATATTCCATTCGGCAAATATTAAAAAATTAGCTCGGGGTAAATCCATTGAAATTCCAAGAAGTGCAAAAACTTACACCGCAACAGAAAGAAAATATACTCAAAAGAGCTAAAGAGTTGTTTCGCTTGGCCGAAAGTGGTGGACTGCCGAATTTGGTTTTCTCCGTCTCTGATGGGAAAACATTCGTTGAAAATGTGCACCTTCTATTGACCGCCAGAACTCAAGTAGTGGTTCTCCGCCCATATTTATCGACCGTGGAGGGTGTATAAAAGTCAAACATTTTGGCCGCAGACCTTGGACATTCTAACATGACTCACGAACCATTGCACTCAGCGCGCGCCACCCAAGAATGGTTAGAAAATGAGGTTCCTCGCTGAATTTCCAGCGCACAATGGCCACCAAAATCTCCGGATACCAATCCGTTGGACTATTGTGTCTGGAGTATTTTGGAAAGCAAGGATGGCACTTTAAAAAAATACCAAAGTTTCGAACACCTCAAGCAAGCGCGTCGCCGGGAATTGTCCAAAATACCGCAGAGCAACCTTCGGGCAGGGTGTAACAGTTTCATTGGCCTTGGTTTGAAGGCCATAATTCATGCCAAGGGTGACCAATTCGAACAAATCTAAACTTATTTTAAAATTTGATGCTATTTCCGACATTTTTTGCTTTCATTCAATAAAATTTAAAGAAAATGTAAAAATGATGGCATTTGACTTTGTTGCAGTTTTTTCTCACACCCTGTACACTGTTTCCAGGGTTAGCAGGTGCAATAAACACGGACTTTTAAGGATATTTCTTGGTGGCAATCATCTCTATTTTTAAAACAAGTAGAAAAAGTCAAATCAATCAACAACTATATGATGCCCTACACCACAACGTGTACTTAGGGAGCTCCCATAACAAAAACAAGTTTATTGAAGAAAATTAAATTAAATGGCTGGGGTAGCTTTAAACTTGGGAAAAAGTTTTCTCAAAGCCATAATGCGATGGGTTGACACAAGGCTGGGCGTATGAGTTATTTTCATTGCGTGGACTATTGAGAGTGCTCATACGACACCATGTTTGAGTTATGAAAGTACTCGAATAAAAACCACTGAGGAAGGTCAAAAGACGGGCGGAGCCGACAATATGATATCCTACACAACCATGGGAATTTCGTAGAGCTCCCGTAACAAAAACGTTTGTATACGGAATTTATGTGAAGTAAATCATTCCGACTTTAGAGTAGTCTCAAATTGGGAACAACATCTAACTCTGAATCGATTTTCAACAAATTTGACGGATGTCTTTGTACCTCTATTGCCAAATAATATGACTTGATATGATATGACTTCGATAGGAATTATATTAAAAAAAAACTATGTATTGGAGTCATAGATATGCCGAACAGAAATTCACTAAATGGATAAAATTCGGTACAATATAGAAAAATCTATGCAATTTGGGCTGAAATCGGATGGTATACCAAATCTGGACCAATCTCGATACAATTTAGCAGAGGTACTTTCGAGCTGTATATGATGTCCGGTAACAAATATCATTGTTGTGGAGAGCATATTATGCATGTGAGGGACTTTAACATCAAATCGGATTTGGTGTACTTTTTTCTAGACTGAACTCTGGCGGAAGTGTCAAAATTCCGTTCATTAACCATTTGGTTCACAATAAACCTGAAATCGTATAAAGATTTATATGAGAGCTATATTCAAATCTGAACCGATCTTGACAAAATTTTAGAGCACTTACTTCTGACCTGTATCTGATATCTGGTACCAAATATCATTTTTGTGGTGTGCGTATATATAACGCATGTGACGAACTTAAACCCCCAAAACGGATGGAACATATACAAGGGAGCTATAGCTATATCTAAATCGATTTTCACCAAATGTTATGTACTTACTTCTTTTTCGGTTCGATGGGCCAAAATTCAGTTCATTTGGAATGATATTAAACATTTAGTCACATAAAAACCTGAAATCGGATGAAGATATATGTATATGGGAGCTATATATAAATTTGAACCGATTCTCACCAATTTCAATTGGGTGTAGCCAAACAAATATTGTTTGGAAAATTTCATCTCAATCGAATAATAAATGCGACCTGCATTTTTTTTTTTTTTTCACAAAAAATATATGTATGGACAGACTGACGGACAGGCGGACTGGCATGCATAAATCGACTCTGAAAGTGAATCTATTAAGATCCACAAAAGTAACTATGGGTCTATCCCGCTTCCTTCTTCCATGTTACAAAGAAATCCACAACGACATAACACCCCTACCACTATGTGGTGGGGTAGCGTATAAAAAAAGCAAATCAAAATATGCCATACATGGCTTGCTATTCGATTTCTTGATTTGGTTTTTCTCTTTCGATAATATTTTCATGGAAAAAATCTGCACCAGTTGGTTTTTCCATTTCAGAGTACAATACAAAGCAATTCTTTGTAGAATTCCCCAGACTACCATTTCGAAGTGATAGACAAACAGACGGATACAGATGCCCAACAAAGTTGACTCCCGTTTGTATCTTTTAAAATATCCATGTAATGCCCGTTTAAGCTTTTAACTAGTTTCTGGGAAAACCTAACCAATATCACACACACACACGCACACAGACACAAAAACTCTCTCGGGGAGAAAATAAACTGATTTTGTAGCAACGCTTGGCTTCATCCAATTGTGAGGAGTATTTTGTTTGATTTGCCTCTTTCGCAAAGCCGATAAGAGATGGCAAACAAATTGACTACACCTTAAAGTGTCATATGTGTTAGTGTGTGTGTAGGTGTGTACTCGAGTTTGTGAGCAAAGGATTTACATTAGATTTGTGAGATATATGATGGGAGAAATAGAGAGTGTGGTAGAGGTGTGGGAAGCACTTATCATTGAAAATTTCAAATTTAATAGCCAGTAGTTCCTAAAAAATTATTCTACAAAAAAAAAATATCTAATTTCGGACATCAAAGGCGAATTAAACAAGTTAAGAAGTCGGTTTTGCCGACATATGTATACCCTCAGCCAATGGTCGTGTATACAAAAATATATTTCGACTTCTGTCATGATTATTCAAATTGTTGACCCTCTATGGAAATGGTTTCGAAGAAATGGGCCAATATTGCCCATTTCGTATCAGACCTAAATAAATTTGATATTAACATTGCGATGTGGCAGGTTTGGGTCATATTTGTTTATTCCTTCACTTAATGCGAGATAAGTGATAATTTTTAGAAAATGTCGACCGAAGTATTCCGATTTCATGCTTCATCTAATACAGATAAAACTAGTGAAATAGTTTCAGTCGTTTTTATACCCTCCACCATACTATGGAGGGTATATTGACGTTGTCATTCCATTTGTAACTCCTCGAAATACTCATGTCAGACCCAACAAAGTATATATATTCTTGACCAGCGTAAAATTCTAAGTCGATTTAGCCATGTCCGTCTGTCGAATTGAGATAGAATGGAGATAGATGGCTAAAATTTTGCACACATGTTTGTTTGCCAGTAGGCAGGTTAAGTTCGTGAATGGTCCATGTAGATCAACGTCTTCGTATAGAAGGAGTGGATCGATATATTCCATCTTCACACCAGACCCTGGGATAATAAAAATATTGTCATGTGTGTAATTTGAAGACTATCGGATCCTTACATCACATTTTATAAGAGTTATAATTATTCACAATTTTTACACTTTGTGGGGGAGAAACTTGATGGAGTCGACCAGTATTGCTCATTTAAGCACCTGATCTAGCCCTGATGTAAATATTGGGATTTGCAAATTTGGAGTCGCTTGATTGACTCCAAATGTCCTGAAAGGGATTTGTCCCAAAGAAACCTAGGTTCTAAAACCCTTAATTCGGTGAGGCACGTTTTGACCATATCAAATGATTGTCATATGGAAAAAAAGTCTAACACGAACTGAGGGAACGAATCCAAAAATTTTAAGGTGGAGATAACTTAAGATTCGTAGATAAAAACATAAAAATTGTTAACTCAAAACAAAATGTAATTGCTGAATTATAAAATATGAAAGGAATGTTGTTTGAATAATTGTTTCCTTTATTTTTACCACTCCCCAACTCAACCATAAATTATCAAAACAAAAAAAAGAAAATAGGAATTAAAATATTAGAAATCTCTAAAATATCACTTAAAGCCTTGAAGCTATTTTCCTATTATTTTACTTCCTATTTCCTTTCTTCTTTTTATTTTCCGCCTTCAGGCGGTTCTCTTCTTTTGCTCTCTGTTTGGCCAAACGTTCCGCCTCCCGCTCCATGCGTCGAAGATGGACACGTTGGGCCGTGGCTTCGGCAAAGCTAAGTGGAACCGGTGGACACTTGAAACCTGCCGGAAAGTCTTTCGTTAAACGTATAAACCGATAACCGGTACAATAATACAATGGCAGACAGGCTGAGGGGCGAATACGTGATTGCGGCCAATTTGGAAATGTCAAATCTCGATGGGTAATTTTTGTCAATTGGGCGCCATCAATGTCACGCCAATGATTGATAAGGTGGGGGGATTGAAATACGGGACGTTTCCATGTTCGTTTTGAATCTTCCGGTTGGTGATAAAAATCCCACAGGGGTTGCAGTTCCACGCAAAGTTTTCCATTTCGTTGGGGTTGGTAGCGCATTGCGTTATGAGGGTGGAGGGGGTGGTAGATTTGATTTCAATTTGAAGTTTTTGCGATTTTTTTTGTTTTTTTTTTTTAGTTTTTAATAAAATTTACAAACAATTTGGAAAAAGACTTTGAAAAGAATGATTGACGTCAATGGCATATGGAAATAAATCGAGTAGAAAAAAAAAAAACATTTTTATACCCTCCAGTGGAGGGTATATTAATTTTGTCATCCTTCGAAATACTGATGACCCTACAAGTATATATATATTCTGGATCGGAGTAAATTTCTCGCTCGATTTCGCGATGACCGTCCGTCTTTCTGCCTAGAAGACTAACAATTTGCACACATGTGTATTTTGTCAGTAGGCAGGTTAAGTTCGTTAATGGTCCATGTCGCTCCACGTGTTCGTATAGGCCCCATGTAACGGTACCTAACGATGTTCGGTATTATGATAATATTAACGACATTTTTTAACGGAATTGTTTCATATTTAACACTTGAAGTTTGAAATAGACACTACACCCTAAGACAGAAAATTGTCTGTGCTGGTCCACATCTTCGTATAGGCCCCATATAATGGTACCTCCCTATATTTCGTATTTTGATGATTTTAGCGACATTATTCACCGGAATTGTTTCAAATTTGGTATTTGAAGTTCGAAATAGATGCTACACCCTAAGACAGAAAATTGTCCGTGCAGGTCGACATCTTCGTATAGCCCCCATATAACGGTACCTCCCTATAATCGGTATTTTGATGATTTTAGCGTCATTATTAACCATAATTGTTTCAAATTACGTATTTAGAATTCGTTATGGGAACTACAGTCTGTGACAGAAAATTGTCTATGCAGGTCCAGGTCTTCGTATAGGCCCCATGTATCAGTACATTTCTATATTCGGTATTTTGACGATTTTAGGTACAATACCCACCGAAATTGTTTGAGATGTGGTATTTGAAGTTCGTAATGGATGCTACAGCCTGTGACAGAAAATTGTCTATGCAGGTCCAGGTCTTCGCACAGCTCCGATATAACGGAACCTCCCTATATACAATATTTTGATGATTTTAGCTACATTATTCACCGCTTATTTCAAGTTTCAAATTTGAATGTGGTAATAGCTTATGACAAACAATGCCTATGAAGGTCCACGTCGTATAGACCCCAATATAACGGCTATATTCGGTATTTTTTTAATTTTAACAGAATTTTTTAAGGATTTTATTTTTTGAAAATTTTTGGAGGGTATTCAAAGTTCGGCCCGGCCGAACTTACTGCTTTTTTAATTGTAAGTTTGTTAACTTTTTGTTTTACAGGACGAGAGGAATTTTTGTAAATAAATAAAGAAAAGAGAAATAAATAAAAAAAACATCCCATATTTGGTTTAATTTGCTTTAATGGATTAATTAGTAGCCGCAAACAGCAATTTTTTTTCTCAAATCGCATTTGTGTCAATATTTGTGTGGAGCCCACAAATCTATTTCACCCAAAAATAATTTTTATTCACCTCACGGGCTTTCTTATCCTCCGTTACTTTTATTTATTTAGTTAACATCACAACCACCACCACCAACAACAACAACACCACAAAAGTCTGTTGTGCTTTTTTTGTATTATTGTATTATGGAAGCTTTAAGAACATTTGTTAATGTAAAAAACAACAACAACAAAAACTACAACTGAAAAAAAGAAGAAAACCAAAAAAAAAAAAAATAATCAGCAACAACAATTACAATATATGAGACAATAAATTGGAAAAGGAGAGAAAAGAATACCCCCTAGAACAACAACAACAACAGAAGAAGAAGAAGAAACTACAACAACTATACTTGTAAAAAAATAAACACAACTTAACTACAACAAAACGCACAAAAATTGTAACTACAACAAAACAATTTAAAAAAAAATTCTCACAGAAGCAGCCAATTTTTTTGCAAAACACCGCCATCAAAAAAAAATAATAAAAAGCCAACAGCTGATCACGACAATGAAAAGCTTCATTTTAGTTCAGTGTCTCTAGATGTTTGTGTGTGTGTATTTGTGTCTCACCTGCAAGATTTTGTTAAAAAAAAAACATTTTTTTCCAACTGAAATCCAAAAGAAAAACACCAAAGAAATTCCCATCCACCACCTCATAATATCCCATCCTGAAAACATGCAATAACAAAATATATCCATGCACCCAAAAGTATGCACCATTTTTAAACAAGGAACGCAGCAAGCAAGATATTCACCAACAGATCTAGCTACTCACCAAAAGCCAAAAATCCCAACACACAAGTGAACCAGCACCAACACCAATAACGAAACCAAAAGAGCACAGAGATCTTGTTTTGCTCTACACCCCAACCACTCTCTCCTCTCTCACTCTGTGTGTGTGTGTGTGTCTGTGTATTATACACAATCAGCAAGCAAGGCAAGACGAAAAACAAGTTTTGATTTATTACTTTAACTCAAGCATATCTCGAATTTTATTCACCACCAAAAAAAAAAAAAAAACAACACCCACCAACACCACCACCACCCTAGCAAACGTAGTTGCCATACTGGGCCAATTTAGCTGGCAGCCAAGTAAACCACAAAACAATCCTCTTTCCAAATCCAATAATTTTAACCTTTAGCCACCACAACCATTACCACCAGCCGCCACTAGCCACCACAGACACCTGGAATACCACCACCCCACCGCCTCTACCACCACAACCTTCAACAACAACAACAACACCATTTTGTTTCCTGCTCAACGACGACATAAAACGGCCGCACAATTGCACACAACTACTATCACAGATATCCGCAACGCTATTACTACCGCATGGAGCGTGGCAGCGGCGGTGGTGGCCAATATCAACACCAGCAACAGCCGCAGCAGCCACAGCCACACCACCAGCAGTCGTACTATCACCCGCACGGACACGCCGCCACCTTCATGACAGCCGCCTCCGACGAACACATCGGCAAGTCGTCGTTCGATAATCCGGCCACCAAAAAGAAACCACCCAAACTGAAGGCCATCAACCGCTCCATCTCGATGGCCATAGACAACTACGATGGTCCGGGGGGCGGGGGACCCGTGATGCTGGACGACTCCTCGCTGATTGTGGAACAGCCCATCATACACCGGTCGGCTTCGCCGGTTGCCTTACGCTCAGCGCCACCACCTCAAACACTGGCCCTGCCATCGGGCGGTTTCGGCGGTGGTGGTGGCAGTGGCGCGGTATCACCAGCTCTGTCTTCACGCAAACACCATCAGCATCACAGCTTCGCCCAGATGGCCGCCCAGGCACGCCAGTTCAGCCAGCAGCAGTCCCACTCCAGCTCCACGAGTTCACCCATTGGCCATGGTGCGGTCAGTCCGCTGATGGGCAGCAGTGGTAGGATCGGTGGCGGCGGCGGTGGTGTTGGTGGTGATGGGGGCGGTGGCGGCGGCGGTTATCCATCCACCGCTTCGCATGCCTACCAACACCAACATTCCCAACATCAGCCCGACATTTATCTGGTTAGCAGTAGTAGCCTGGTGGACGATGTGGGTGGGCGCATGGGTGGCTCCTCGGCCTCGCCCATTCAGTTCATCGACGACTATATGTTGCCCCCCTCCTCACATCGTCAGCAGCAGCAACAACAGCAGCATGCCACACATCCCTTGAAAAAATCTCAATTTCGTCGCTCTGACACAATCGATATACATCCGGCTTCTACTTTTCAGATGAAGAAGACGCACTCGTTCCATGCGCCGCACGATCCCTCGGAGGCGATCATGGATCCGCTGCTGCTGAGTGCGGGCCAGCCCACCTCTGCTTCGTCGTCGCGCCGCACCAGTTCGGTGAGGGGGAATTTTCTGATGCCCGGTCATGCGGGCAGCAAAGAACTAAGTCGCTCGCCCTCTCCCAGCAGGCGGGGGGCGAAGTCGCATCGTTCCCTGCACGATCCCCAGCGCCGGCCCAGTGCCAAGCCGGAGTCGGTGGTGGACTCACAGATACGACATCCCTCGCTAAACGATGATCTGTTGGAGCCCATCGATGCCCGTACCGCTGGGTTGCTGGCGCCCACCAATCTGTCGCTGGAAAATGAACTCTTCATCGAATCACGCTCGCGCAGCAACAGCCACACGAAGATGGAAGATGTCGGCCTGGCCGAACGCATATCAATGAGAAAGACATCGGGCTCCTTTGAGGACCCCAGCACAGCACATGGCGCAACGGTGGCCACCAGCTCACTAAAGAAACGCGATCACTCGCACTCGGCACGACAACACAGCACCCACAGCCTGGAATTGGACGGAAGACCCTCCACCTCGGCTGCAACAGCAGCGGCGGCGGCGGCCGCTGTCTCCGGCGGCACCCATTCCACTTTGCATTTACACAGTGCCGCTGCCGCCGCCACGGCAGCGTATCACTTCAAGCGTGGCCGCGAACATGGACGTTCGCTGTATTTGTCTCCCAACAATTTGGAGGAGGTCCAGGTCCACCATCGTCCAGCGGTGCTGGCCGCAGCCGCCGCATTTGGCGGCACCAATGCCAGTGCGGCCAGCAGCATCAAACAGGCCAAGGCTTTGCACAGTGCCAGCATGCGTTTGCGCACTTATCGCGAATCGCTGAGCGCCACGAAAAAATCGAAAAGCTTTATTGGCGACAGTACCTACCCACCACCGCTGGTCAGTGTGTCCAACGAATTTGTGGCCCTGACCTCACCCCACCGACGCAACAGTGGCCGAGCCCTGGCCAGTGCCACTACCTCAGGCGGAGCCGCAACTCTGGAAGAAATAAAACGCAGTCCCAGACCGGTATCGTTGGGAGCCTCCACATCGCCGGCGGGGACCGTGACCACGGCCTTCATGGAGGAGAAGAGGCCGTCGTTCGAACGCAAATCCTCGATGACCTATGAACTGGGTGATGCCGCCTTTGAACAGGTGTTGCGGCCATTTCATCACAAGGCCGCTGCCGGAATTGGAACACGTAAATGTCATATTCTCTCAATATCTCTCTCACACCCACACAGACATAGAAATTTCCCCACTTCTCTTTTGCAGATGAGGCCGACGATGAAGAGGAAGCGGATCGTAAACGTAAACGCATTGTATGCATTGTTATGACGGTGTTCCTTTGCTTGGTTTGTGCCGCCGTCTTTGTGGTCATCATGACGCTGACCCATTCGTCGGGTCAGTCGCATTATGGCTCGCATGGCCACCATGGGCTAACGAAAAAGGTCAACACCTATAATCGGGATGTGCCGGTTCATTATAATGGTATGACTCGCCCGACTTTTTTTTCAAAAATAACCCCAAAGTGACCCCCAAATCAGATGGTTTTTATTTTATCACCCTTTAATCTGTCAATGAATTCCTCCCTTCTTTTCCCCTTCCCCCTGTGAGGCCATTTCCCAGTTGATGGCTTAATAGCCATCCACCGCCCACTCTGCATTTGATTGATGATGTCGAACATTGAAATTGATTGAAAGGTCCATGTAATGTGGTGTAAAATGATGCCATGACAAAAGCAATGAATGGCCTTTGTTTTAGCAGCAGGACATGAGCAAAACCAACAGCTACAGCAACAAGGAGAGCTTTGGCAACGTTTGACAACTTTGAACGTTGAATGTCATTTTCCGGTTGACTTAATGCGCTTTACAAGTTACGCAGAGGGCATTATAAATTTCGAGTTTTTTCTGTTGCTGCTGGTTTTGTTGTTGTTGCTGGTGACCTACATATTAAGAGAGCAAACTAGACATGGCAGAGGAGACAAAGGACCATATTTGGTTTTTTTCCGGTCGCCCATATATTTTTCTGAGATAAAAAGGTTAGAAAGTAGAACTTCTAGCCCCACAGATCTTCTAGTCTTCTGGGGCCTTCTAGGAGCAGATATTCGGGCCTTCTTATAGAAGAGAGATATATATCCTAGGATAGGGAAACCATTCAAAAGACCTGTGGATAGTTAGCCTTTAAGAGGTCTACCGGAAAGACTACTGGTCGCTTGGTGATAGCGAAAGCTTTATCCATAGAAGAGCTTTTGAATGCATTCTATGCATAGAGAGGCTTTAGAAGGTATTCTAGGTATATTCGACAGCTCTTCTAAGGAGAAAATGTTCTCGAAACTCCTTAATCGGAGAGGGAAACTTTGAAAGTTCTTTTATGATAATAAAGCCTTCGAAAGGCCTTCTAATAGTCTTCTGTGGATATAAGCCTCTTTTATAGATAGAAGACTTCCTAAAGCTCTTTTATAGATAGCAGACCTTTTAAAGCCTTTCTTTAGACAGAAGACATTTAAATTTTTTTAATAGAATACCTTTTAGGCTCTTCTATGGGTAGAAGACTTTTTAAAGCTCTTTAAAAGGTTTTCTATGAATAGAAGACATTTGAAAGCTTTTGTATAAATAGAGTAGCTTCTAAAGCTCTTCTATAGATAGAGGCCCTTAAAAGCTCTTCTTAAGATAAAAGATCTTTAAAAGCTCTGAATATAAAACCTTCGAAAGGCCTTCTAATAGTCTTCTGTGGATAGAAGCCTATTTTATAGATAGAAGACTTCCTAAATATCTTTTATAGATAGCAAACCTTTTAAAGCTTTTTTTAGAAAGAAGACATTTTTTTTTTTTTTTTGAATAGAATACCTGTTTGAGCTCTTCTATGGGTAGAAGGCTTTTTAAAGCTTTTCTACGGATAGAAGACATTTTACAGCTCTTTTAAAGCTCTTCTATGAAAAAAATACCTTTTAAAGCTTTTGTATGAATAGAAAATCTTCTACAGCTCTTCTATACATAGACGACCTTCAAAAGCTCTTCTAAAGACAAAAGATCTTTTTAAGCTCTTTTATGAAGAGAATATCTTTTAAAGGCCTTCTATAAACAGAATACCTTTAAAGCTCTTTTGTAGATAGAAGACCTATCACAGCTCTTCTATAGATAGAATACCTTGAAAAGGTTTTCGACAGATAGAAAAGCGTTTCTATAGATAGAAGACCTTTTAGTCTATATATAGGAGACATTTTAAAGCTCTTCTATAGATAGGAGAGCTTTTAAAGTTCTTCTATTCTTTAGATAGAAGACCTTTGAAAGTTCTTCTATAGATAGAAGACCATTTAAAGCTCTTTTGTGCATTGAACACTTTAAAGCTTTTCTAGAGATATGCATAGAAGAACTTCCAAAGCTCTTTTATGAATATAATACCCTCTCCCTCGACGCTCTTCTATAATCTCCTATGACTAGAAAACTTCGAAAGGATCCATATCATGACTTTCATCTTGTTGTTCTGCCATGATGGAGTTGTCCACGATATTCCTTTGCTATAACAAAAAAACTATGTTCGACATTTATCTCCATGATATGCCAGGCGATTAACTCTTCTTTACAATTTCCCTGTGACACTTTTTGGGAAAAATTACTTTCTTAAATTCTTATGGCCGAAAAAAATTTCCAAATGCCCATTCAACCCTATCCTCTGCCTAACACCATTCCTCCCATACCCCCCCCCCCCCCCCCCAAAAAAAAAAAATTGCAATATAACACGAAGAACTTGCAACTTTCCGACCGCCTGCCATCTTATTTCCCAGGTCAATTTTCAGCATTTCGTTTTTCTTTCCCAATTTTTATTTGGTTTATTTCTCCTTTCATTTTCGACTTGCACTTTATGCAATCCGAACAAGCGAACCAACCCACCGAGGGTGTATGTGTATGTGTGTGTTTGTGTATTTTGTTTGTTCAGTGCCACAAATGTCGATCGAAAAGTGTTATTCGAAAGAAAGAATGAAAAAAAGTGAAACATTTATCAAACCGGACGTGAGTTTGCTCTCTTAGTTTTGACTCAAATGTGTAAAAGTGTTGGTACGTTCTGTCCAGTTGTTCGTTGCCACGTTCGTGTGTGTCAATTGGTGATACGTGTAATGGCTACTTTCGAAAATACCCAAAAGCCTGAATGGGTTTAAGTCATCCAAAACGGAAGATAAATGAGAAATAGTTGAAAGGACTATCAGCTACAGAAACCAACAAAAAAAAAAACGGCAACAAAACAAACAAAAATAAAGCACGAAGGTTGTGCTAGATGCAAAAGTGATGAAACATAGAAAAAAAAAAAACGAGAGGATATGTGAAAAAGTGCAAGTATTAAAAAAATTAAAAAAGTAAAATAGATATAAAGGCCTAAAAGTATGCTTTAAAGATAAACATGTGGGGAAAGCCTGAATGTATGCAGCTAAAATTGCAGCATTACAAACATAAATTCTAAAAATATTGCCCCAAATGCTATGAAAGCTCTTCTATGAAAAACATTCTAAGCCTTTTCCACCTTCTACAACTCTTCAATAAATTTAAGAATTTGTAAAGCTTCCAGATATCTTCCATGGATGGAATAGCTTCTGCAGTACTTCTATGAATTGAAGACACTCTGAAGCTGATCTGTGAACATATGACACTTCTATGAGTAGAAAGAGTTTCAAAAGCTCTTCCATGAATAGGATACATTCTAAAGCTCTTTTATAAATAGAAGACCTTCGAAATCTATCCTATGAAAAGAAGACCTTTTACAGTTGGTAAATGGATAGAAGAACTTCAAAAGCTTTTCAATGGATTGAACAACTTCAAAAGCTTTAATATGCATAGAAAACCTACAAAAGCTCTTCAATAAGTTGAAGACCTTCAACAGCTTTTATATAAATAGAAGACTTTCTTAAGCTCTTCTATGAAAAAAATACCTTCTCATGCTCTGCTATGGCTAGAAGACCTTCAAAAGCTCTTACATATACAGATGACTTTCAAAAGTTCTTCTATGAATTCTTAAGCTTTTCGATAAATAGAAGACCTTCAAAAGCTCTCATATAACTAGAAGACCTTCAAAAACTCTTCTATGAATAGAAGACCTTCAAAAGCTCTTTTATAAAGAACTCTTCTATGAATAGAAAACCTTCAAAAGATCTTCCATGCATAAAAGACCTTTAAAAGTTCTTCTATGAATATAATACCTTCTTAAGCTCTTCGATAAATAGAAAACCTTCGAAAGCTCTTATATGAATGGAAAAACTACAAAAGCTTTTCTATAACTTGAAGAGCTTCAACAGTTTTTATAAAAAAGAAGATTTTCTAAAGCTCTTCTATGAAAAAAATACCTTCTTATGCTCTTATATTACTAGAAGACCTTCAAAAGCTCTTCCATGCACAGAAGACTTTCAAAAGTTCTTCTATGAATTCTTAAGCTTTTCGATAAATGGAAGACATTCAAAAGCTCTCATATAACTAGAAGACCTTCAAAAGCTCTTTTATAAATAGAATGCCTTCAAAAGCTCTTCTATAATTAGAAGACTTGCAAAAGCTCTTCTATTACTAGAAGACCTTCAAAAGCTATTCTATGACTAGAAGACCTTCAAAAGTTCTTCTAGGACTAGAAGACATTCAAAAGCTCTTCTATGACTAGAAGACCTTCGAAAGCTCTTCTATTACTAGAATATCTTCAAAAGCTCATCTATGACTAGAAGACCTTCAAAAGCTTTTATATAACTAGAAGGTTGTCTAAAGCTTTACTATGAATAGAAGTCTTTCAAAAGCTCTTCCATAACTAGAAGTCCAATCTAGAAGTCAAAAGCTCGTCTATGACTAGAAGATCTTCCAATGCCTTTTTATCACTAGAAGACCTTCAAAAGTTCTTCTATGACTAGAAGACCTTCAAAAGTTATTCTATGACTAGAAGACCTTCTTTAGCTCTTCTATGAATAGAGCACCTTTAAGAGCTCTTTTATGAATATAAGCCATTCAAAAGCTCTTCTATGAATAGAAGATATTCAAAAGTTCTTCTATGAATATAAGATTTTTTTAAAGTTCTCCTTTGAATCCTTCAAAAGTTCTTCTATCTTCAAAATCTCTTCCATGACTAGAAGTCCAATCTAGAAGTCAAGGCTCGTCTATGACTAAAAGATCTCCCAGTGCTTTTCTATCACTAGAAGACCTTCAAAAGTTTTTCTATGACTAGAAGACCTTCAAAAGTTCTTCTATAAATTAAGCACCTTTAAAAGCTCTTCTATAAATATAAGATATTCAAAAATTCTTCTATGAATATAAGATATTTTTATAGTCCTCCTTTGATCTCTTTTTACTTCTATTGAATTTTACCCTAAAAGTATGCTCCTTTAAAATATCATATACCAAAAATTATGCTGTGTGTGTGTGTGTTTCTAGTTCCCATAACACTTTGGTGTATGTATCCGGTGTTTCGATACATTATCTGATTATCTGCTTTGGAGTGCCTAATTCTATATTGAAATGAATGGA